TTTGAGTTCTCAGAGGTTGTAAATTACTTAAGAGCTATATCATTAGATATACCTTTCCATCATAATTTATTCTTTATTCCAGGGTTAACACTTCTTATCCCCTACATCTTGACTCTCCGAAAAAAATGGAAAGACTGTAAATTAAGAATCTATGTTGGAGGGAAGATCAATCGCATTGAGGAAGAAAAAATTGCGTAAGTAGTTTACAGCTCACATGTTTGGTCTTTTCAGATATTTATCTGTTAATTCTTTAATTTTAAGAGCTTTAAGTATGCTTGAGGCATAATAGATTTAAAAACAAAGCCATCATGATAGGCCTCATGTTTGATTTTTTGGCCAATAAATTATTTGCATAATTTTTCTAATTACTGTCTTCAAGTCCTCTTATGCCCTGCCACAAATGCCTCCAAAAGGGAATTTGGGAGTGTCACTATCTTGAATGTGTATTTTGTTCTGACTAGTAAGTGCATTCAAGAAATTTTATGTGGTACTGGGGATTGAACCCAAAGGCACTTTGCCACTTAGCAAATTCTGCAGTTCCTTTTCATTTTTAATTTTGAGACAGGGTCTCACTAATTTACTCAGGGTCTCACTGAATTGCTGAGGGTAACCTTGAACTTTCAATACTCCTGCCTGGGCCTCCTGAGTTGCTGGTACTATACAGTGTGCCACCACACCCTGCTAAAAAAAGGGAAATTCTAAAAGAATGTGTATGCAGGTGTTTCTTATGGAAGAATTCAAACCTACTAATTCATGGCAACCAGTCTTAAAACAGTAAGAGAACTAAAAACTTAAAAGAGAACTAAATTGAAAACATACACATGGGTCCTAGCCCCAGCTCTCTACCAAGGAATTGCAGGACTTTGCAACAGTCACTAAACATTATCTGTGTTCCAGTTTCTTGTTTAAAGTTTGAAAAAGTTTAATGGATGACTGTTGAGAATCCTCCTAGTTAAAAAAGAAAAGAAAAATTCCCACAGTGTCTATCTGTATATTTTCAGTAATTTAGCAACTGAGAGCTGACACATAGTTGTGAGAACCATCTTGCCTGGAACATGGGACCTCTAGTGGAAATCTTGAGCATCATCTTCAGCAGCTTTTGGTCCTTCATGGCATGTTTGAGTCCTGGGCCCTGGGACTTCCAGAACTCACAAAATAATGACAGGACATTTATACAGTAATTTTCATATTTTCTTCTCCTTTTTAAAAGGATGTAATTATGATATGCACACACATTCATATATTAGTGAGTATATAGATATATTAATTTTCTTATTTTCAATTAAAACAATGTACATTAATATTACATATTTAATTTTTCTTAAAAAGTCATGTTAAAATGGAAACTAATATGTCTATAATAATTTATATTTCTTAAAACTTCTTGTACCTTACTGGGACGATTGATAAAATTTGAAGATGGTTTGAGGATTAAAAAGTTATTACATTTTTAAGGTTCAAAAATTATACTCTGGCTGGGTGCAGTGGCACATGCCTGTACTACCAATGGCTCAGGAGGCTGGGGCAGGAGGATTGCGAGTTCAAAGCCAATCTCAGCAAAAAGTAAGGAGCTAAGCAACTCAGTGAGACCCTGTCTCTAGATAAAATACAAAATAGGGCTGGGAATGTGGCTCCATGTTTGAGTGCCCCTGGGTTCACTTCTTGGAACCCCCCTCAAAAATTGTACTCTGGCTAGGGAGGCTGAGGTGGGAGGATCACAGGTTCAAAGCCAGCCTCAGCAATTTAGGGAAGCCCTAAGCAACTTAGCAAGACCTTGTCTCAATAAAAAGGGCTGGTGATGTGACTGATGGTTTGAAATTATTTTAAAATAGCAGATAGATAAAAAGGAAGGGAGGAGAGAAGGAAAGGAGGGAGGGAGGGAGAGAGGGGGGAGGGAGGGAGGAAGGAAGGAAGGGAGGAAGGAAGGAAGGGAGGAAGGAAGGGAGGGGGAGGGAGGAAGGGAGGGAGGAAGGGAGGGAGGGAGGAAGGGAGGGAGGGAGGGAGGAAGGAAGGAAGGAAGTAGAGAAGGAAGGGAGGGAAAAGGATGACAAATCAAATGGGGCTGAATATAAATAAAATCTGGAAGTTCTTTGAACTATCCTTACAACATTTTTTAACTTTAAAATCATATCAAAATTATCAGTTTTCTGAGAGAAAACCACCAGTATATAACTATGTAACATGATAATTATTGGTTTGTCAGTAACTCCTATATTAATTATCAGCAATAGTGGTTAATAAGTATTCAGATTTGCTGCCTTTATTTCAAATAATTAGGGCATATGAACAGATTTGCATTATTTTCCCTAAAAGATGAATACAAAGCTGGACTTGCTCTTTCCAGTGTCTCAGTGTCTGCACCTGCTGGAGTTTCTGTCTGCCTTCAGTGGAATAGCTTGGTTTACACTTAACATGTTCAAAAAGTACTGAAGTGAAAATCAAACCCCAAAAGCCTTGGACAGCTCAGCCGAAATATGACATGATTGCTTTTGATATCTTAACTCAAACACAAAAACTCTTTGATTGAAAATAATTAAATATGCAATGATGAAGTGCTTTTCTCTTATGTTTTCAGAATGGCTTCTCTTCTGAGCAAATTTAGGATAAAATTTGCAGACATCCATATCATTGGTGACATCAACATTAAGCCAAACAAAGAGAGGTATGAAACATTTAACAGGATCCATTGATTATCCGTGGTACTCTCTCACTCTCTTGTGTGTTGATTATCCAAAGGTAAAAATGTTACCCGTTTACTGCAGTGAATTCTCGATAGGATATATAAAAGAAGGGCCTTCAAATAATCATGACAGAACTATCAAGTACATTCTAATGGGAAGAAAGGTTTTATGATGAAGGTGAGCCTGATGGGAGAATTATTGAAATACAGGTCAGTCAGTGATTTGGAATTGTCCTTCCTGCTCTTGGTTTCTAAGCTGGCAAAAGTGACAGGAAGCAGAATGTTGTACTATTCTGACCTGAGCAGTTAAGGTATTTCTTTATTTAAAGTTACTGATGGGGCCTCTTGGATGAGAAGTGCTGATGGAGTAGTTACAGTTTCTTTGGCACAATGGACCCTCAAGGGCCATTTTAGCTTTTAGGATTAAAGGTTCAATGCTTAGGGCCTCTGATCTTTATGGAGGGATGGAGGGAAGGGAACTATAAAATTAAAGCATGAAAAGGAAATATATTAGCTCCAAAATTCAAAAAAATGAAAATATTGAAACAATCATTTAAATATTTTCAAAACATGACATCATTTTAACCTTTATTAGTTGTCAAATTTATCAACTCTGTTATTGTGTTATCTCAGGTGGTTTTGACAAAATACCATGGGTATGGATTAAACAACACAATTTGATTTCTCACAGTTATGGAAGCTGAGAAATCCAAGATCAAGGTTCTGATTAATTCAGTTCCCATTAAGGCCGCTTTCTGTTGTGTAGATGGCCACTTCTCTCTATTTTCTCAAATAGTGAAAAGAAAGAAAATTTGGTCTCTTTCTCTGATAAGGACACTCATCCCATCATGGGGGCCTCATGACCCCTCATGACCTCATCTAAACCTAAGAACCTCCCAGAGGTCCCACCTCCAAATGCCATCATCCTCAGGGACAGGGTCTCAAACTATGAATTTTGGTGAAACACATTCAGCCCATAACAATGATGTTTGAAAACAATTTGTAGGTTAAATCCTCATAAGAGATCTCAAAAATGCAAAAGGATTGTCCAGAAGTGATAGTCAATTATAAGTTAAATGAACTCCTTTGATTTGTAATTCGATAATTATAAAATGTTTTCAATTATTTATAATCCAAATCATATTTGCTGTTGCATTCAGATGCAGTTTAATACCCTTGATTTAGGGTAGAGTTGAGCTTCTAAAATTAAGTGGACATGAAAGTTTCAGAATGGTTTGGGTCTCACTGTCCTTTTATTTCTTCTCTTTTCTGTTGACCACCATTTATACTTCCTCTTACAATTCTTGATGAACTATAATGCCATAGTCCTCAAATCTTCTTGCCACTTCCTTTTTTTTAGCATATTTTTATCCCATATAAACTTAATAACTAACTTAAAATATTCAGATTTAAGATGCACTCTTATTAATTAGATGAACTTGAACTTTGTATTCTTTGTGGGTATTCATGTCTCCTCCAGAGCTATGGTTAGTTAAAATGGCTTTACAAAATACCTCAACTGTGATAAGAAAGCTAAAATTGACAGGGTCAACTTGGTTATTACTTTGTAATATTTCCTTCCATTATATATACTTCTAATGCCTTGTATTCTTTTTTAAATATTTTTTAGTTGATGGACCTTTATTTTATTTATTTGTATGTGGTGCTGAGAATCAAACCCAGTGCCTCACGCATGCTAGGCAAGCATGTTACCACTGAGCCCCAACCCCAGCCCCAATGCCTTGTATTCTTAATTTCTGCAGTTATAAATACTTAAGAAAAATTAAAAACACATTTATAATTCTCTTTGGTAAATGGAATCAGCATTCTGATAAGAACTGGATTTTTGTACAGTAATCCCTAGTAGCCTTCCATCTTTTGTTTGAAGAATTTTAAAATCCTAAGTCATTGCCTCTTAACATTTGTAGTGATATGATCAAAAGGCTCATCTTAGGGCTCTAATTGGTGGAGACGCATTCTCTTTCATAACAGAGCAAGTCCACCAGTTCCTTAGCATGTGCCACTTAGTGACATGGTAGACCTCCTCCTGCTTTGCAAGAGGGAGCCGTTTTCTGTTGTTTGGAGGGTGGTCACTGCGTCTCCTACTAACTTGGGGTTTTCTATAAGCCCTGGCTCAGTGAGTGGTACAAATAGTAACCTACTTCTTATAGCCAAATTCTTCTTACTGTTGTTTATCTTAATAGCTAAGGACTATTCCTGCTTGCTGATTATATTGTTCTTATATTTTGTTGTCTCTTTACCTATCAATCTGATTATCTCTACCCAAGTCCTTATTTCCTTCTCTTTCTTTCATACTCACCTGTGTCCAGCTGCCAAGATCACCATCCTGCATATTCTTCCTTTCTAAGCTGTCAGCCACTGGGAGTGTTGATGAACTCCTTCCACTAACCAGGTCTCTTCATTCTTTGTGTACCTGTCCAAGTGTGGGCACTCTTAATCCTACTATCCTGAGCTTTCTCCCATGCTGTCCTCTTCTCAGAGAGTAAAACTCTGTGGGCAGTGGGAAGAAATGAAGTACTCAGTCATTTTTGCTTTTTTGTCTTGGCATCTAAATTTGATTTTAGACACCATTTTAACTTGATGCTTTTCAATGTCCTCATTATCCCATAAAGAAGAGAATCACTTCCCACTTTTAAGACACAAATGAATTTATGTTCAAAATTTTGCAGATTTTTCCTCTCCTATTTCAAGGTCATGAAAAAAGATGAATGGAATAAAGTCCATCCTTCCTGAAATAAAAGAATTCTTACAGTTAATGTACCCTGGATCAAGGGTAAAAGGCCATCCACCAGAAGGGGGTGCTGGAAGAACCATTCTCTTCTCTTCGGCCTTCTGCCATAACTGATGTCTTACTAATTTATAAAACAGTCACATATCTGATATTGACAATGGCTATTCCAATATATGAGAGTAACCCCATTTAGAACAAAGAATGGTCATTGGGTATATCTCACATCTGGCCTGTGATAGCACATCTGGCATGATTATGTTAACTGATATAAGGCAACTCTTCTGGGTACAAATAGAGAAGAAGATCTCTTTTTTCTGGGCTGATACAGAGCTAGGCCCAGGGGCTGAGGCTTGGTGGGTAGAACATTGGCTCACTTTTATCCCTCATATGGGCCTTCTTGTCCAGGCAGCCCTTATCCACCATCAACAACTATCCCCTGGTCACTATTCTTTCTTAGTCACCAGGTGATACAAAATGGGGAAAAGAGTGTCGATGATTTCCATTTTGGAGGTTAATGTTATAAATGCCCAGAATTTCCATTAGTAAACCCTTCAAATACCCATGAAACATCAATAAGTCTTGGCAAAGGTATTTTGTCATAGACACGTTATCTATAAATATGGTAGGTCAAGGGTGAAAGGGAGTACAAAAGCAGAGTTAACAAGAAAATAATTGAGTGGAAGAAAATGAGGAGCTCTTGCAGATAAATTTCAATTTTTATTGTATAGAGTGAATTAAAAATCATAGACCAAAAAGACAATTATCTGTATGTGAAAATCAAAGAGCAACTAGAAGCAATTAACCAGATAATTTAAAGATGTTAGCGTAGTTATAAATAAAAGTATAGTACATTACTTTGAGAGAAGAAATCTTACATGAACTGAGGAGAAAGTTTTATAGAACTAAAAATTTTAAAACTTCCTTTTGAGAGAAAGGATGGGGAATATAGGACAGCTATTAATTCCATTAATTCAAAAAATTGAATTAGGGGCTGAGGTTGTGGCTCAGCGGTAGAGTGCTCAGCTAGTATGTATGAGGCCCTGGGTTTGATCCTCAGCACCACATAAAAATAAATAAAATAAAGATATTGTGTCCAACTACAACTAAAAAATAAATATTTTTAAAAAATTGAATTAATTATCATTTATATTTAATAATACATGCTACATGGCTTAATTAATTAAAGCATTATATGGAAAATCAGATTTAATCAAAATAGTAATCTTGGGTTACCTCAGGATCACCTAGTAAGGAAAATGGAAATGGCCAGTTCTTGAATGAGCATGAGAATGAAGAAATGAAAGATGAACATGGATAAGGAACAGTAGGAGTTCAAAGAACAGGAATAGGCAAATCCAACCTCTCTATACCCTCCTACTGTGTCACTTGGCACGTTTCAATTGCAATTAAAAGAAAACCTCATAGTGACCTAGATGATAGAAAGTATTGTCATACATGACTAAACAATACAAGTATAATTTGATTTTCAGGCTAATCTTGTTCTAGAAGGTAAATTTTGTAATCAAGAACTAATTCTCTTTCAGTCTCCTATTCTAGCTTCCATTATGAAGTCATCAAAGTTGATTTAACTTGTAAAAGCATGTCTGCCAGTAGCAATCAGGACTACATACTTGCTCATGTATGTTCAGTAGGAAAAAAAGTTTGTCTCTTCCCTAGTTGTTAGAGTCAGGTATGGGGCTCCATTCAGGATGAACCAGCCTAAGCAAGTGAGCCATTCGTGGTAGTCTGCATAACATTGGTTTCCTGTTGGTTCAAGTCTGCTTGAGTTAGGTGTCTATGTTGGCTAATCACTTTGGCAGAAAGCATAGAATTATATCAGGGCTGGTTGATCTTGGGGATGAAGTCTTTCCATCCAAATTACAATGGGAAAACATAGTATGAATGCTGAGGAGACAACCACAACTTCCATCTCATCTTTTCTTGGGAAATCATTTTTCTACTGTATTTTCTAGGATCTAGGCTGAGGTGCAGAGAAACTCTCATCCTGATCAAAATAAGTATATGTAGAGGGACTTCCATTGCTAGCCTTAATCTTGATGACGTTTAGAAAAGTGAATGCCTCTCTTTTACAAAACCCTGTATGCTTCTCAGAGCACTGTCATTCAGATTCTCACTCTGTCACACAGCTCCAAATAGCCACTGTCATTCCCCTTCTACAGGCAGGCTTGTCCAGGCCAAGGATAATAATGAAAGAGGCCGAGCAAGAACTGTGTTCCCAGGCCCCCACCTTTCCCTTTTCCTGACAACTGCCAAGGAGCTCTCTAAGGGCATGACACTTTCGGAAATAATATCAAATAAAAGTATTCCGGTTGAAAGAAGAATAGGACACATCAGTCTCACTCCTTTCCTGTCTTCACCTACCTTTCTAAATAAGTCAATACAATAGCAATCTACTGCATTAAGTATCTCTTCAGTCCCTTAACAAAAGCTCCCTAGCAGGGATGGTTTTACTCCTTTGTCATATCTGTACTTTTATCTGCAAATCCAAAATCAGGCCAACTGATGAGATAATTAAACTCATCACTTCATATTTTAATTTCTTAACCTAACAGCATATGGATTCTAATTATCCTTCATTCCACTGTTACTAAATTATAAGTAAGCTACATTATATAAAACCAAAGAAAATTATTCATACATGAGATCATCTTTAAGTAGCATACTGAAGAAACTGCTACCATAAATTGTAAGTAAAGCTTATTGTGCTATTGTTTTAAAAATAAATTCTTATGTAAGACAAGAATGAGATTTTTTGCACAATTTAAAAAATGTTCTATAGCTCTTAGACACTGCTTCTCGTCTTCTCCTCAATGATTTGTTTTTAAATGCTCTGAAAAGTCCTCAGATTTGTAGACATTAAAATGTTATTGATTGTTGTTCTCTCCCTTAACATGTCCCTGAATAATATTCATTTGAAAAACTCAGACAGCAACATCAAACACCAGGACAAGCGCAGCATTATTTGCAGCAAACATCCAAATTGTTCTAGAACCGTTCAACTTGTGAGAGCCCTTGCTCTTCTCCTTGTACCTTCCCAGAACCTCCTCATATGAATGGGAGTTGCCGTGTGGACTAAAAGTAAGGGCAGCCCTATCTGATTTCCAGAAAGCCTAGTTCATTCATCTCCTTCATTAATGGACTAATGTCTCCCATGGAGCCTGTCTGATAAGCAGATGGAAACTTATTTATCGGCTAAAATGTCTACAGTGCAACTGTGTTTTTGACTATATTATGTAGAAAATGTATTTGCAGAACAATTACTCCTATGTGCTTGTGCATTAATACTGAAGATCTAATACATAGTAAGCTAACAAGGCCTGAAACACATTAAATCACATCCACGTGTAGGGAGGGAGCACTATAACCACGCTTTTACTCACAGTAAATTCCCTGCAAAGATAATTCGTAAAAGATTTGCATGACATTCAGCTCTGATTCCACAGCCAGCCAAGCCAGTCATACCTGGAGTATCTGTGAAATAATGAGTTAGTTTCCCACTGTGAAGCCTCCTTTACAATTCCAATTTCAGCTGGAAAGTCTTTGAAGAGATGATTGAACCATATCGTCTCCATGAAAGCTGCAAAGATTTAACAACTGCTGAGAAATTAAAAAGAGAAACTCCATGGAAAATTACAGATGCAGAACTGGATGCTGTCAAGGAAAAGGTAAGGACTTGTCTGCCTTAATTTTTACTTTGCTATCTAACTAGCCGAAAGCCGAAACAGTGGTTGATTTAAAGATCAAGAAGTAATGTATCTATTACTGAATGGCATTATTCAAGATCCAGGATTTCTGCATTTGTCAGGTGTTTTTCAATTATATTATTGGACATTAGGATTTAGAATACTTTTCATTTTTTTCTAGAAAGTAACATTTTTAAAAGTTAAAAAAAACAAGTCATTGATACATATTGTAAAGTCTCCTTTCAAACTTTATTATTATTAATCTGAAATAATTTAAATAATATTCATGCAATGCAGATAAAGGTAGATTGACCCACACTTCAACACAATGACAAAGAATTTCAACCTGATGAAGATAGCTGTGAGAAATTAACAAAAGTATCTGAGGAAATTTATGATGCGTTTAGAACAACAAAATGTTGGATCTGGCAAACGTAAAATGAATGTTGTCGCGAGTAGCCCTGTATATAATTACTCAGAGGCAGATTGTCTTTAAATGTAAGCGTACATTTGATTATACCAATTATCAAATATAAACAATTAATGCAAAAAGTGTTGGGTGTGCTGGAGCGCCCCAACTAGCATTTAATGCACACTAATTAAACACCATAAGCAAATCACACAATCCTAGGGCAACTACGAGCCCCAAAATACCTCTGATGCCACGCGACTTCTCTTAGCCAAAGAGCAGACGTTGTTCTTGTCTGGTGGTTCTCTTCAGCCTATGGCTGGACGTCAGGGAATGGTGGAGTCAGGGATGGACAGCAAGGCAGCAAGGCGGTCAGTCTCTCTGATGTCCTTGGAGCAAGACTCTAATGTGGCAGGACCAGCAATTTAAATAGAGTTCCAAGTTGGTGGTGTATGTTGGTGATTGGTTATACCCAATGAAAGTCAATGTCCATTGGTTATGTCCAGTGAGGTGATGTAATTGCAGCTGGGCATATTCTTTGCACGTGTCCATGAAGCTGGGCTCCCTATCAACTGTAACCAGTCATTGCTTAGCATGTCTATGGCTAGTGCCCCTTATAGCTCTTTATCAATTGCAAGCAGACATGACTAAGCAGTTCAATGGCTGCTGTTCCTTATGGCCGGCAACCTAGTGAGTCCCAGCATGTCCCAGCATGTCTATGGCAGATGCTCCTTTCAATGTGAAACTGTGAGTTTTCCTAGACAGCCCACCAGGAGTTACTCTCTTCTGGCCTGAGCTGAATGAAGTTGGTGATATTGACGATAATGAAAAGGGCAGAATTCCGAATGAGGAATTGATATCTGAATTGGACACTAAGGGAAATGGACCACAAGAACCTCCAAACTACAAAATCGGAATAAACTGTATTTGGAGCTGAGCTTGGAAAAATTAGAGGAAGAAATACCAAAAGTCTGTCAGATTTAGTGAAGAAATACTGAACGAGAATCATAAACTCTGCATAATAATAACAATAAACTGGCAGTTCCAAAGCAGTCATACCATCTAATTGAGCAAATCACATGTCTGAGGCTCAGGTTCTAAAATATAAAAATAAATATTACTTTCAATACCCCAAAATAGTTGTCCAAGTGAGTTTATTGGTGGTTTTTTTTTTTATTTGAAACCATCCCCCTGATCTGATAAAACATTCAGAGAACTTAAAGAAAAAGAGAGTAGGAAATAATCTATTTTCTTAAGATATCAAATCGGCAACAAGCTTCCATCAGTTTTCTTTGACTGAAAACCTGTTCCCCAAAACTGGCCATTCTTGTCTTCTTTGGGTTGTTATCCATGCTGTTTGTTTTTTTCCCCTAAAACTTAATAAGCCACTATAATACAATGACACTCTGGTCTTTATATTTCTAAAATTTCTCAAGAAATTTTAAAACATCAAATTTAAAATTTTTAATAAACTATTTTTAATAACTTTTTAAAAATGAAGCTTTCTGCTGATCTATGATTTGAGGTAGGAAGATAAATTCTCATTCATAATTTTGTTAGAACTACACTCAACAAAATTTGAATGCTGTCCACAGAGTTACCGCCAAGTTCGACTGAATGAACTTTTACAGGAGCACTCAAGAGCTGCCAACCTCATTGTCCTGTAAGTATCATTGTGGGCAGTAAAGAATGGGAGAGACAAGTTTCAGGTTAAATGAGTTAATAGATAAATTTATAAGCTCATGACTTTTCAGATAAGAAGTTAAAAAAAAAAAAAAGTTGGACCATGCAGAATTTTGGACAGTGAAAGAGGATACATGCCACCCTGAGACTCTGACAACTAAGATCCAACTTAAAGGGCCTTGCTTAGACTTTGTGCCAATCATATTACTCCTATGGGGTCAGGGCACATGCCCACCAAGAACACAGGCTTCCTTCTGGACTATGCTCTAGAAACCTGAGGCTCTGGAATTCCCTGGCAACAGCCACAAGTTGGCCACCAGGGCTCAGGCATCTTCCCTGGGTAGGTGTTTCGGAGCCACTGCATGACCATGGCAGACTCATGGTCCCCTTGCAGTGTGGCAAGAGGCCACAGCAATAAAAAGATGGTTAGTTTTTCCCTTTTTCACTCTTTACCCTTCAGTCTTACAAATGTCAGAAGTGGGCCTACTGATAATATTAATATTCATTTAATTAAAGATTGGTAGCCAAACATGGGGAAACATCCAACTATTTCATTAGTACCTCATGAACTGAGTCCTAGATATAAAAACAAACATCTTTAAGCACGGTCTAGATTGGTGGATGATCCAAGTGATTAAGACACTATAGAATGACATCCTGAACTGGATGGTAGAATTCCAATAGCTAATTTCTAAGCTACCTCCCAAATACATGTTTTAAACTATTGGAGGAAAATAATGTCCACTAGAGGGCATGGATGAGTATGGGTTGATCCAATTCTCTCTTCAAAGAAAAGTGAAAATTTATACTTTTATTTTGTCTTTTTCAACATCTATGTCTGTTTTACTGCTTTATAGATATTTGTGTTATCTAAAAAATATCAGTTTAATATCTACATTTGAAAAAATTGGGGGGACATAATAAAATTTTCAGGTCACTGGTTATTAAATAGTTCAGAAACACTAATGATATTACCATCTGTAGTAATTTTTACTTTCATTTTTATTTTTCTTCTGCTACCAGGAGCCTTCCAGTGGCAAGAAAAGGATCTGTATCGGATTTGTTGTATATGGCTTGGTTGGAAATACTCACAAAGAATCTCCCTCCTGTCTTACTGGTTAGAGGAAATCACAAAAATGTTCTGACATTTTACTCTTAAAACATGAAAGATGAGGATACATTTTAAATTAATGTATGAATAATTAAGAGACCTGTTTCTATACTTTCTGTTATAAAATATGATCTATGGATAAACAAACCTCTGGAGACTAGCCTACCAAATTTTACATAAATTTTGTCTTTTTCTTTTCATTATTAGTTAATGAGAGCTCCCTCCACCCCATAAGCCAATGCTACTCCTAGAAAAACATTTTTGTCATTGCTGTTGATGAACAAGAAATTAATCAAATCCATGCTGCCTTATGTTCATAAAAACTACCAATTTGGTTGTAAGCTCCTCTAGGCAAACTTAATCTTTTGTTTCTAATGGTGTTTGCTACAAGGCCCTGGTACAGGTCTCAGCCCCACAGCAGGTTCTCCATAAATGCTTATTGACAGGCTGGTACAGTGGCCATGGGTGGTTATCAGAGAAAAAGACCAACTGGGTAGGAGGCGCGATTATGCTTGGCCTCCTGAGAGGCTTATGCCTACAAAGAAGATTTAAAAATCAATAACTGGAAACTTTAAGAAGTACTTGAGTCCAAAAATGTTTAAAGTAGTTACCTAAATAAGGTTTGTTTAATGTAACAGATAATATACTTAGAGTTATCTGAGTGATCATTGATAATATATGGCTTGAAATTGCTGCTGACTCAAGTGTATTAACTAGATTAGAAACATATATTCCAATTAAATGAAATATATTCTATTTTTAACATATAAACATTAATTATCCTCCCTGCTAAACATTTTGAAATTTTCATAATGATATTACTTTGCATATTTTCTTCTAATTAAGTGGTTAGTACAGATGAAATCTATAGAAGTCTAACTGAAAACTAAGTACCACAAATTTTCAAACCACTATTAACAAATATATTCAGAATTATATATTTAGTTGCTTTCTATAGTGATTATATGGACTTAAAGGAATAATTAAAATGTGAGTGGAGAAACTTGCATAATTTGGAGTGTATGATTATTGATTTTTTTCATTTTTATTAGTGTATCTACAGTATTTAATCACATTGGCAAACCAATAAAAATTGTTTTTCTGATGAATGGTTTGGGTTTTTTCCTGACATATTTTGACTGTTCTGAGAAAACATATGGGGAAAATGAACCTGAAATAAAAGCAGTGTAATTCATTTGCTTTGGCCTAGGTCATGTTTTTACTTTTCCGTCACTAACATCACTGCACGATGGTTTATCAGATGTGAGCCTAAACATATCATCAGGGATCTTGCCTGCAGTTGTTCAGTGCTGGAATTCAAGATTAGGGTTGCCAAACCCAGACTTCCTGCTCAAAAGGATGACTGGGAAAAAAAAAAAAGAAGGTCAGTAAGGCTTTACAGCTGGGTATTCCTATCACAAATCCAGGGCCATTTCGCTTAGCCCTAAATTAACCCTCTCTTTTGAGTCCTATGTGCCTGAAACCCATGAGTAATCAACCAGGTAAAAGGGCCCTGATTCTTCTGGGCCTAACACTTCTCTAAAATCCTTGAGAGGGTCTCTGGGGAAAGGGAGGAGTAATACAGCTTCTGTGGCAGGAAATTCTGGCTGCTGTTTCTTTGCTGAGCTGTTACAGCCTGGGTTCCCCTGGAAACTGACTCTGAGATGCAGTTTATCTGCGCATAGTGCCTGGGAATCAACACCTGTGGGAGAAAGAGGGCAGAAGCTGGAAGGGCAGAGAAGGAAAATGGAGAGCTGCTGCAGGTGCAATGACAACCTCACTGGGAGCTCTGGAACTAGAATGTCCCTTTAGAATAGTTCCCAGAAGGGCAGAGGCCACAGGCCTTTGTGCTTCCCCACTGATCAGTCACTCTGGATAAGGGCTCCACACCTAAGGGGTATGGCCTTGGGCAAGGCAACCTGTGAAGCTGAAGCCTGAGAGCTGAAGTCTACCTGCTGACAGCTCTCCTAGCTTCAGGGGCAACAAATTCTTATGAAACTAGATGGGGGTGAAGGTATATCACCATGTTTGCCAAAGGGGCTATATCCTTATGATAGTGGTTCAAAAAAAAAAATCAGATGGGCCTGAGTTCAAATTTTGGTCCCCAATTATCAGCCGTATAACTTTAATTATTTAATTTTCTGAAGACTATTAGCTGGAGGGTGACTGAAGTCCCTGGGGATCCAGGGACAGGTTAGGTGGCAGGAAGGGACTGTAAATTTGGGGATCAAGAGCCACTATATTGGGAATAGGTAAAAGTAGCAGAAAACTAAAAAAGGGGCTGTGCTCGGATAGCAGCAGATTTTTGATAATTGTTAGTGTCCCGGCCATTGTCCTTTGCTTTACCCAACTCTATTAACCCAACCACCCATCATCTCCAAGTCTGCATTTGAATTTCTAAGCAAGAGGGAAAAAGTTCTACAATTGTGTGCCATGTTCAGTGCTTCAACTGCTGTCCAACTTTCTCTGTCCCTGCACTTTATATGATTTCTCATCAACATTCCCACTCTTTTCTCAAAATCTGCAGCACTTTTTCAGTTGATGATGTTTTCCCCATCCTCACAACACATCCATGGTCATATAGTCACAAAACTTTCTTACTTACATAAACAGGGCCATGATGGGAGAATTGTCATATGAGTCCTTCCCTTAATATTCAATCTGAAGTCCTGGGTTCAATCCCAGAATTGGAGACAAAGAAAGGAAGGGAGGAATAGAGGGAAAGGATGGAAAAAAAGAAAATCTGGGAATTGTGGGAG